CCCATGGATAGGCATTGAAGAAATCCAAATCATCCACAATGGAGAGAGTTTCAGGATATATCCCCATATTTCAATCTCTGCAATTGAATACCCCTTCAATAATCAGCGCCAACCCAAGTTTGTAACGATCATTACGTTGGGTACATTCCAGGAAAACATTCTCCATGTCAGTACACGTTACCCGATCTCTACGGTTAAACAATTTGTCCCATAGTAGGGTTTTTCCTAGAATTTGTCTGAATTATCACCTTTCGGTACTTCACCACACTTCTACTCAGTGATTAATGCAAACTCCAGCAGTCCAAATCATGCAAACTTTGGTTCACCTTACACCAAACCTCAAAACTTTTGTTAGAAAACATCGATCTATTCACCATTTCATGAATTAATTGCCCGGACAGTTTTAGCCTCGACAACTTGGCAACACATCGTCTGCAACTTTCCTCGAGCATACGCTTTTGTTGTGCATCAAGTTTGTTGAGGACAACTGTTATGTATTTCATGTTGCTGACCTGTGAAACCTGCGTCGAGACGCGCTCTTCCTCTGGTACTTTGAATCGGTGTGAATAAGTCATCTACATATAACAAAAAACACATAAAAAGTATTAGGAGAATGTACGAACAAAAAAACCTAAGAAACGACAACAGGAAAAAAACCAAGTAACCATTCGACATGCTTGCTATCTAATCGAATAGGTACCCATAAAGCATAGTGTACAAGGTACTTATAAAGTATAGTGTACAAATTCAACGGAATACAATACATTGAAATTAGAACTACCTTCGAAATGATGACTAAGATCTAGAATACATTAGCATCTAATGCTTGATTACAAAGTTTAATTTCAAATTTAGTTTTCTTTTAAAGATAGTATGAGTTTGTAGACATGTCATGTATTCATGTGTATGTGTGTAACACAAGAAAGTAAATAGTAATATTTACAACTCATTCATTTTCCACGTATTTAGCCTTCAACTTGAAAATAAGGATAATATGGCAATTCTCATGTATTCGAAATCAACTGTTCATCGTGCACAAACTAATCTACACATAAATAGTGTAGCTGCATCATAAAACTATAAATCTGCTATTGTACAAAATAATGTTATTCACTTGTCATTTAGTGTGATTGTTTAAACATCAACTAAAAAGGAATCTTATGAGAAGTGAAATTATTCGTCCGTTAAATAATCTATCAATGCCTATATGACCCGAGGTTAATGGCTTTGAATTGGAGTCAACAATTTCGGCTACGTTAAAGTGATGGATAAACACGTACAGGCAACCCATAAAATATACTTTACACACATTTTGGAGGCAGCCAAGAATATATTACACATACACGCCTATGGAAAATGAGGGGGCAGCTAATATTTCATATTTTTACACACTCATTGGAGGCTAGAAAAGGAGGATTACATGTATACATAAGAGAGTCCCCTTGACAGTAAAACATTGGCCACACGCAGAAACAAAGCAAAGTAAGAAGAAAACGAAGGCTGTTGTTGTCGGTAGCTATTCGGGAAGAAACACAAAGCCAATATAAAAGCCAAGAATTTTCGACTACCTTTATTATCTATACACATACGTAGAAAATTGAAGCACTAGAGGAGAGATGTATACATACGCTGGAGGAATTTATTGGGTTACATACATGTATAGGAAATTAAGTTTATACACCAAGTTTTGAGCTAATTAATTCACATATACACATATATAAAACATAATAATGAGAAGCATACTAAACTCTAACTAAAATATGCAACTATCAAAAATTACATACAACATTGTAAAATCAAATCAGATGAAATACACATTAAAATTACAACAGTAAACAATAAAAAAAGAAAAAAGATGTATCTATATAAAGTTACATTATTGAAGGTAACTAAGAAAGACGGAAGAATTTTTGTCAGCTTACAATTAGGAGAGCAGCTAGGGGATGAACGGAAAGGTTAAAGGTGCGGCGACTCTTCACTTCCAATTAAATCGTAGCCTTGTATTTTTGGGTCTCTAAGCTGAAAGAGAGGATTTTACATTTGGATGCAAATTGAATTAAGATTAGGAATATAGTTTAATGTTTTCGTACGAGTTTGATTCATAAATGGACCTGACCCATTTTTCATTTCAAATGACCCAGCAGACGTATTTAATGTAATTGTCATTTGTACTTTTTGAAATAAGTTCATAGGTTGTGTCCCAATTTTATTGGCAACACAATTCTTAGTGATAGGACAACACTTGAATGCTACTTTGGAATTAGAAATTGCAAACAGGGTTATTTTCATCCAAATAATTGAAAAATGGACATTGCAAAAATTTTGGACATTTTTGCAAATGTCCATTATTTTTGCAAATGTCCATGCAAAAATGGATATTTCAGGCAATTTCCTCTTATGTATTATTTACCCTGTGGAGATCTTCACACCAAATTTATGCACTAAATTCCTAGTATGCTCCATAGATGAGTTCCTCGTTTTGCATCGTTTGATCCTTTCTTTCTTTTTGCATCAATCATCTTTGAATTTGGTATTTAACATATAAACATAATATGTACACTAATACGAGTAAAAATGTATTAAAATAATCAAATATAAGCAAATTTAATAGTTCAAATAAATGTGCAAAAGACATTTATCGACCTGTATGCTTTCTATTTTCTACCATAATGGTTGACCTCATCCAATACGCTCTCAGTGTCCCAAGTGACATCCTCAATTTTCTTGAGCTTTAGCAACTTGGCACGTGTTAGCATCTTCCAACGCTTGATCATGCCTAGTTATGCTCTTAGAGCATCTTCAAAAGGTTTTCAATTTTTAAAATGCATATTCTACAATTCAAAAGGCATTTATAAATTTAGACGGTAAAAATTTTTAAGTACTTCAACATGCTCTTTTTATTAAATACGTAAATCAAAAAATATTTTATTGTTTTTCACTATCTTTCAATATCACTAGCTTTCCACTAAATTATTATATTATTTTCTTTTATTGAAAATTGAAATATTTTGAATGTCTCTTTAAATTAAAATGTTACTTTAAAAAGTCCGTTTGAACATAATTTTAATGATTGACTCTTTATAATAGAGGGTATCTTATATTTAAAGAATCTCTCGAAAATATTCTTAGCTTTGATAAGTTTGGCTCAAAATCCAATACCAAACTGGACCCTCTACTGACAGTCACGAGTAACTCACCCACTGCGACTTGCTCAGTGGTAGATTTAATTATTGTGTAATTACTATTTAGATTAGAGGAGAGAGTCCTTATGACTTGAAAAAAAAAAAGGTTGAACCCCAATTTTGCGGGTCCCCACCGTTTCACCCCTAGAGCTTTGTGAGAGAGGTAAATCGCGGGATGTGCCCCAGCAGGCCAGGGAACAAGAGCTTATTGTACATTGCTCCTACAAGGAGTCCAATTTCATGTTTCAGGAATCGAACCCCCACACTGCGGCTGCTGATAAGGCGTGAGATAACCTCACTCCTGTCCTTTGCACCACTAGGCTCTGCCCCGGGGGCAAGAGTCCCTATGACTTAAATTGGTGGAAAGATGATGATTTACAAACACGTTTTGGTGAAATCCATCCATCTGTAGATTACAAATCAGATTTGGAGAATACAATGACGAGCTTTGGTGGAATCATATAGCTTGACTTAAAAGTAGAATAGATTCAAAGACTATGATTAGCCCCCAAATTCATTCTTTCTTAGCAAACGGATTCTCAAACTTCAAATTTCTGGGAAGTCAGTCTCTTTTGACATTTTCCACCCCCCATGGCCGGAAGCTTCAATGGCGGAGGGAGCGCCACCGTGGAAGATAAATGTAGTGCGGATAATTCTATCAAACTCATGTCATTCCATCAAGACGACCTTTGTGATTATTAACATTACTGTTGTGTGTTCATGTATGTAAATTTTTTGCATAATCTCGAGGTTTGGAAAATTCCACCTTTATTCACCAAGCAAACTTCTTGCTATTGACACATGATTGTCTAGCATTTTCCATTTCCATTTCCATTTCCATTTCTTGTTGCTGTTTTCCCCAAGATTCAGCCCGAAAATTGGATTTGATTCGTATGGCAGGTTAATTTCTTGCCAAATTTTACTCCACTGAATTATGAGCAGTAAGTTTCTTTCAATTCTATAATGTTCCGCAAGCTCCAAATCCAGGGACTTGACAGTTACTCACCGAAGTCCGTATATCTGTCAGTCGCATGGCTAAAGCTATGAAACGAGTATGCAGTGCTTCAAAACTGAAAACTGGCACAATGACGTGAAGTGGCTGCCCTTCTCAAGAGTTTTGTTATTTGTACACCTCCTTTGACAGATGGGTTGACCAAAAAAAAAAAAAAAAACCAAAAACTATTTTGTTATATGTACATAACGATTTACATACACATGATGTGTTAAAATATTATTGGATCAGAATTTTAAAAAATAATAATAATAATACTTCACAGCTCTCTTTTCGACATATTACTTGTATGTAAATCATTATATAACTCCATTATGAACAAATAGCATTATTCAAAAACAGTTTGACAGAAAACTTTTTTTTTTTTTCCATCTGTCCCTATTTGTAAAACTGCCTGTACATATAGCAACTCTCCCTTCTCAATTTGGCCCAGACAGTAGGCTACACTCAAATGAGGTACAAGGCTGACAGAAACACCAAAACAACTACAACCTGCACCATTGCTAATTTATATAGTCATTTATGCTGTGTCAATAGGTTTTGTGATTGAATGCCATTAGCCAATTTCTCAATACTAGAAATATTCTAAGCAGCACAGAGTCTCACTGATATATAAGGCAACCTTAGATCAGCTAAGATTCATTAAGAAAACTAATAACTGCCCTCATAATATTTTCTCCTCATTTCTTGAATTGATCATCATTTGACACCTCTTTTGACCATGTTGCTGATTCACTGCTCGAGACATATCTCTATAGAGGCTAAAGGCGACTAAGAAAAGACCTCAAAAAAGGTAAAGCTGAATATAACAAACAGAGCATAGTTTATTTAACCATGAATTTATTATCTAAAAAACAAAAAGCAGTCACAAGATGCAATTTTATTAATCAACACAAGGCTTGAGCTGGTAACTTCCTCGGGCAGAGGCCAAGATATTACAACCAATAACGTTTGGTACACACACAAAAAAAGGGTTTAGTAGTATATTCTATAAGTAGGGGCCTAAGATCCTGTTAACTGCCAAAACCACTCAGTTCAGACTATAGCCTGACTTAGTTGGGGTAATCCTGTCAGAGAACTTTCTTGATGAAACCAGAGTGAATTCAATTCTTACTGCAAATATGAATTCCTGCTTCCATTGCCAATATCCAACCAAAGGGCTAATAGCAAATGCAAGAAACTACATACCAGCAGAAAACATAATATGTCCCATATCTTGTGAAACTGTAATTAGCGAAGCATCTCAGTTCATCAATCAAGCTTGTGTTTGTGGAGGCAGTGCATGCAGAATAATATAACAGCATAAACAAGTCCTATCAAAGCGACAAGCAACACTGCAAGGTGAAACAGAGAGAACTGTCAGATAAGCATGGCCTATTTGATTTTAAAAAATAAAAACAAAAATTATCCATATCTAATATAAGTATCACAAATACTGCATGCAAGTATCTTATATCAAGAAAAGTGAAAATGACCAAGGGGAAGACCGAAAACTTTCCATATATATAATCCACACTATATCCCAAAATGGCTTTGGTTACCACCATGCGCGATGATGGCATCATTGCAAGCTCATTCTGCTGTTGTTATCTACATATTGATGAACTAAAAATCATTTTTCTTTCCTTTCTTGTTTAGAGAAGCCTTCATCTACCCCTAGATACAAAATAAGATGCCCTTTCTATGAAATCCTCCATCATTCTAGAGTACAAAATTTCGGTTTGATGATAAAGGATGAAGCTGGACAGTGCATCCAATTTTGGAGAGGTTCAAGGTTTTGGATCTGATGGATGAACAAAACGGCATATTTTAAGAGTGACTTCTATGGTGATCATTAGAAGTAGACGGCATTTAGAGTCCATATTTTACAGTGCAAGAAAAGGCAAATGGAAAGAGGCAGTAACTTGTTTTGTGCTTCTTAATGTGTAACATATGTTCAACGAATGATAAAGCCAAGAAGGCATCCAGTTGTCACGCAAGAAAAATTATATATTCAAAGAATTGAGATATTGCCACAATGCGATAGTAACAACTATAGGAGGAATAGGTCATGAAATACATTTATTCCTCAAAGCGGAAGCAATGAACTAACAGCCAAGAGAATGAAAATATCGATTTCAAAATGACTTCCGTTTATCAATAGATGATAGATATACAGGCCACATTAGCATTATAATATCATTCCCAACTTAACATGGCAATACAAAACAAAAAATCTTTCAAAAATAGAAGCGCATTAAGTAAGACTAATGAAGGAAAAAGAAAAGATTCCATACCAGCTGCAGCACCAAAAAAGATGATAGCTAATCGATATCTAACAATCCATGGTAGATCAACTTCAAGAGAACAATGCCTCTGATACTTTCCTTCATTCCTTTTTACTTTAGTTTCCTTCTTTGGGACCTGAAGTTGTGACAATGAGATATTCAAACCAATGACGGGCAATCCATTTTCATCCCGCACTTCAAGTTTCAATTTTGGAGGAGTTGTATTCCAATTAATCTCGATGGTTCCAAAATTTGGCCTCCCTAGAGGATATTTTGACATTGAAGATCACTTGTCAAAATGACTAGGTGCAGCTACATTGGCAATTTGAAAATAAATGAAGGGTTTACCATATGTGCATGAACTGTATCTGCAGCTTTTGTCCATCACCCGCATTGTAGTTGGTGTTAACCAAGCCAACAATCTCACTACAAAATGCAGAGGTGCAGGGACAGCCTTCTCCACGGCTTGAGTGAGCCCACTAGAGGTTACATCATAAATTGGATATTCGGTGGCACAATCATATCGAGTAATTTCTCCAAAATGAACATCACCACTTATGAAGAATACAGCTTCCCTCTGTTCAGAGACAGTGAAATAAGAGAAAGAAGATGTCAAAATGAGATCATAAAATGAAATGTATATCTATGTACTAGTTAATCACCAATTTTTGTGTCCATATCAAATTAAGAAAATAAAATTAAAGGAAAGCCAATTAATGCTCAAATCACAAAACACATTGGCAAAACTAAGGGGTTGTTTGAGACCCATTTTTCTCAAAAAATGCATTTTGAAATAGTGTTGTGATGTAGAATGTGTGGTTAAAAAAAAAGGAAAAGTTTTGAGTTTGTGACTTTGTGTAATATTATTTTATTGATGAATGTGTCATTGAAATGATGTCAAATCACTGTTAAAAAATGTATTTTGATGAAAAATTGGGCTCAAACAAGGGCTAAGAAAAAAACTCGTTCATAAGTGACTTTATTACAACTCTGGCTTGAAAAATAATCAGAAGACAATCACCTTACTGTCAGCTAACAACTTAAAAAGACGAGTCCTTTCCTTCGGAAAACGTCCCCAGGACTCAACCTGGAGCAAGGGGCCAGTTGTTGCTGACAGGTTTGATATGACCTGAATGAAAATAAAAAGTTACAATTATGAACTGGGGACACTAACATCGTAGGTTCACTTAAAAATATCGAAGTATTCAGGATTGAGAAGCATCAGAACTTAAAATGTCTAACAAGTTAATACCACCACGTGATTGCTTAACAGTTAAGACTTAGAAAAATCAATAAGGCTTACAAGATGATACATACGAGGTTGGAAGATTTTGCAGTTAAAAGGAACTATAAAAATTGAGGAACAAAATCTGGAAGAACTACACAGCTGCCAATTTGGCTGAAAATTATTGAATGCCTAAACTAAGCATGTGAATCCAGGTCAACCCAGGACTCTGGCACATTTCAGAACATGAACCTAGCAAATGTTGACACAGAATTGTGTTTGCTTGAATCTCAACCTAATTCAGTTAATGCAGTCAGGATGAAGTCAAATACATGTTATGCACGCATGCACTTGTATATGTTGGCAATTATATTCTTGTGCTTGATCAGAAACACCAAGAATTCTAGCTTCTGAAAAGAGTTCAATAAGAGGATAGAATAGACTTCAACACCAATCAATATAGAACTAGAAGACAGAACAAGAAAATAAAAAAGATTTCAAAATTTAGTAGACATATTTAAAGAGCATTTAATATCACTGAATATCACCAATTCAACTAAGTATTCATTAGTATTAGTCTTATTTATTAATAAAATTCCTAACGAAAAGGAAAGCTTACAAATAACTATTTTAAAAAATCTCAATTAAGAACTAAGATTACAATAAAATAAATCAAATTTGCTTTTTTTTAAGCAGAAAAGTAGCTAATTCTGTAATGAGTAAATGACTTCAAGAAAAAGAAGGAAAATGATGCTCGCAACATAGTTCTTATTAATGGTATAGAAAATGTTGGAAGAATTTTCTTTTTAGTTGCACCTAATCCAACTATAACTAGATGCATAAACTCAGACTACAGACTCACCAAAATTTAGCAAGAACGAGGTAGATGTGTAATACCTGAATAGAAGATCCAATAACAGTAATGGCCGTAGGAGGTGCATTCAACTCCTCCTCCAACCATTTCCATTGTGAACTCCCCAAGATGTTTCCATCACTAGCTAGCGGATCTCTATGATATCGCGTATCTAGAAGAATAACCTGAAGAAGTTTAAGTCACTGAACTAGAACCAGTTTTCTACAATTGAGTCCACCTATGTGCAAATATGTTGGTTTTCCAGGTTGAAATTTATGTGCAAATCACATTATATTACTTTATTCGCACTAGTGGTGTTAATTAGACCGCAAAGAATGAAATACCTTTATTTGTTTGCCCGCAGGGCCAAATGTGTAGGATGCATAAACACCAGCTTGCTTGCGCCTGCCAAAAAAAAAAAAAGTTTTTACGGCCAAAGACATGCCAAAATTGAAAAATTAAATGACAAAAGAACTGAGATTGTAATAAGAATATAGAGTTTTTCATTCTCTCACAACAATTTTATCAACAGAAGGCTTATTTTTTGTGGGGAAGACACAGAAGTGTTCATCCCCTGAGTGCAGCAAAAAGGAAAAAACAAACACGGATTTGAGTTAATGTCAGTTCCTTCCAAACCAGAATTAATTTCATTTATCGAGGCTAAACGTGGTAAGATCGTTCCAGATTTTGCAATGAAAGACAACTAACCGTGGACTATCTTGAGGTTCATCTAGAAAATCCAACATAAGCCTCTGGTTTGTGACCTTTCTGGTGAACTCTTTCCCTGCATCATTTAACCCATAATCATGGTCATCCCAAGTGCCAACAACCTGTGATTGGATTAAGAAGAAGAATAAATAGATAAACAATAGTAGCAATTACAGTCAATACTCTAATAACTAAAACTCAATAGTTAATAATCACTAATATTAATATAGTTTCTAGTGAACCAAGTGCATTCCATATGGCCAAATTTATTTTAATACCGGTAATATATCTCACATTTAAATTTCTTACAGTATTACTATTACAATGGAAATTCAAATTTATTTATTGATTTTATGTACATACATATATCAATTTTAAGTATACATTAGCATCAAAATTTGAGGAAAATACATGTCGGATGGGGTTTTGTTCAATCATAGGTGATGACTAGATCAGAAAAGAATGTGTATTCTGGATCCTGGCCCTGTTGCAATGGTGTCTTGATGTTTCTTTAGGCCTATGCTTCTCACTTAGCGTGTTCGGTCTTATACACGATATATCATTTAACTGTGTCTCTGAGTTCAACACTGAGTAGGAGAAGGAGTTTAAGCCCAAAAATTAATTTCTTGCACTAAAAGCATGTAAAAACAACACCTTCTCTTCAGGAACGAAATAGAAACTTAACAAGTAATAGCACTAATAATTAATACGTTTTCAGTATGTGAAGAATATTAACTATAGGTTAAAGAAACTCATTTTGTTAAAGCAATGAAACAGAAAGGGAAGGAGTTATCAGCCTGTGACGTCAGAAAAAAGAAGGTTCACCTTCGTGCTTTCTCGAAGACGAGAATAACCAGGATTAGCCTTGGCAATCTGATATTTGTGCCGCATTTCATGCTCCGAGGTTGGTGTAAACCTGGGAACATTTTTCCACGGCCCAATTGTCCTTTCCTTGCCGAAGAGCTTGAAGGGATGTCGAAGATCCCCATAGATGTTGTCACCCAACCACACAAAAACTTGGGGTTTGAAGTTTATAATAGCATCCCATATAGGCTGTCATCACAAAGTCTAAAATAATTCAAGCCCATTATTGTAAGAATTCAATGCATTGCATAAACAAGGACTGTTAATCTTTAGGGAGTGTTCAATTAAACTACTACTAGTATTTGCTAGTTTATTAAAACCTCAATTTGCATTTTTAATTAAATTAGAATAGAGGACCTGGGGAGTGCTTTGGTTGGCACAGGATCCGAAGGCAATTCGGGAGACAAGAGCCGCCTCTTCCTGGGCGGCGCTGCCACATACAGCCATCGTCAAAATGAACGCGGCCACCAAACACCGCAACATCATTGTAATACAGTAATACAAAGAAAATTCAGATTAAAAAGCTTGTGATCGTGGAACGAAATTCAGCTCTTTCGGGGTTTTGAATTTTCTTCTCAATAAAACGGAGCAGAGTGAGCTTTCTGACGCGAAATATGTATAGAAAGGGGAAATTGCAGCGTAGTCCCAAATCTTTCATTTTTATTGTAGAATACACCTTAACCTATTATTTATACGGCTGCAATTCCAAACCTTTCACTTTAAATGACGGCCGGAGTCCATTGGACAGATTCTGTCCAGAATTCCATTAGTCAACATTGAAATTGAAATTTTGACTCATATTGACAAATAAAATGAGGAGTAAAATGGTCCATTTAGGTTTCTATAATTAAATAAAAAGGAAAAGAAATTCATATTCTCCTATCCACCACCCCTTGCCACCCCTCGTATGAAACCCGATCATAATGAACCCCATTTGACAGAACTGTTCGATAGAGCTTGAGTTTGTAGTTATTTAACTACACTGAGTGCGCCGTCCATGGCTGTCGGGAGGCGGTGCTCTTGCTCCAGGCGATAGTCAGGGACATAACTACCGCGAGTAGTGCTGAAGAGAGTTGGAGGCAGTTGTTGTTACAGTTGGGCGACCAATCCATCGCCACTTACTTCGCCATCAACGACTTTGCCACCCAAATGAACCGCACTGCACTCCGGTCGAGCACATTTGCCAACGCCTTAATTTGTGCTTTCTTGAGCACCTTTTGAATACCAAAACACTTTCCAGAAAATGCAGTGAAGTGTGGAGCAAACAAAGCAGCTTCACCAATTAGATTTGATTTTTTTTTCCAGATTTTGCTTCGCTTTTTTGGGGTTGCTTCTGGATGAAAAGTAGATAGATCCGTTTCAATGTTTAGATCTATTTCAGGGCTCATTTAATGGTTAGAATGTGAGATTTAGGGGGAAATTACCATGGATTTTAGAGGTTTGAAGTATATTGCTTGGGAAGATGAAATTTGCACTGGGGTATTTTTGTTGGTTGTGCGGCAATGGTGGCGACAGTGGTTGTGTGGCAGTGGCAACTATGGATTTTAATTTTGTAACGGGTGGGGTGTTTTGGAGAAGATGAAGTTCCCTTATTTTTATTTTTTCTTTTTGCTTTTTATTTAATTATTTAATTATAGAAATATAAATGGACCATTTTAACCCCATTTTATTTGTCAATGTGAGTCAAAATTCCAATTTCTGTGTTGACTAACGGAATTTGTCTAATGGACTCCGGCTGAAGTAAAGTGAAAGGTTTGGTATTGCAGTTGCAAAAATGAAAGGTTAAGGTGTATTCTGCAATAAAATAAAAAATTTGGGACCTCTGCTAATTTTCCATATAGAAATGGCTAGATTTTGCGTACTACAAAGTACAATCGAAGAAATGGATATATAATAATCCAAAATAAGAAGAGATTCTGCTTTTTATTTTGGGAAAACTTCAATTGCGTTTGATAGTTATGAATTATAGCCCCTGTTTGAGTCTATTTTTTAGGAAAGAAATTATTTTTAAATAGTATTTTGGTATTATTTCAATCACACATTTTTTAATAAAATAATATTAAACACAAATTTAAAACTTTTTCTTATTTTTAACCATACATTTCAGATCAATACACTATATAAAAATACGTTTTTATGACAAAAATTGGACTCAAACAAGGGCATAATTTCAAAAACTAGAATCTTGAGTGAAAAATTAAGTGTGTGACGTGTCTCTCTCCCATCAATTTTTAATTACTTAGCCCCAATTTTTAGTTGTTTTCAATAATAGATAGTGATTTGAGAAAATTTCTCACACATGTTTTTCAATTTCTCATTTCAATAAAATGATAAAATTATCAATCATGCTACACATTCAAATTCAAATTTAAATGGGACACATGTCGACACATGATTAGACAGTTTAAAAAATTAAAACAAAAATACACAATCATTTTTTGATATATTAATCTGTATCTTCACTTCCTATTTTTAAGAGTGACTAAGTGGCTTTATTCTAAAATTATTCTTTTCAAGAATCAAGTGTACCCCATCACGACCGCATCATTTAACTTATTTCGCACCGGAGCACCTTCGTGGCCCTACAACATGCGATCGCGCCCACGCTCAATAGCGAAGGCACCTCTGCTCAACATTGGACTGTTGCTATTGTAGCAACCATGCTGTTAAAAAAAACAAATGTCAACAGAGTGCCAAACCTTGAAATAAAAAGTAGTGGGGCTATGGTTGGTTCGATTCTTATTGATGACACCGCAGGGGAGGTGTTAATTTCATACGTATGTTGTATGCAATTCAATGCATTTTCCAATCCATTAACAGAGAAAAAAAAAATAGAAAGTTGTTAGCTAAAATAAAACGCTACTTTCTTACGTATGCAGTCATCGAGTACTCTAAGCCGTTGACAGAGAAGAATCTGCAATGTGTCGTCATTGCTAGGCACCACATGTTTGTTGTCAATGATGATGATTGTTGTTTAGAAGTGAATTCGATCTGGTTCTAAAGAAAATCACACCGAATTGAGTACCAATAAGAATTTTGGAAATGGAATCATTGATTCCATATCCAACTATGAAACCGAATCGAAATCAAACTAATCGACTCCAATTTGGTTCAGTCCGATTCTTTATATTGAAAAATTTATAAAATAAAAGTATAAAACTACTTGTTAATTGAAAAAAAAAAAACAAAAAGACTAAAATAAAGTATGAAATCACTTGTCATTCTTGTAATATAACAATACAAAATATTAAGTAAAAAAGGCAACAAACAAAATTTCACTTCAAAACTCAAGATCAACTCGCAAAGGCGAAAGAAAGGATAAAATATTAAACATAATATAAATGATAAAATCCCGATCGAAAATTGATTTAAAAAAAATCATATAACAATATATATTAAAGAACATGTAGTATTTATAATTTGATTATCTCTAGTAATCTTCAAGGATCTTTATTCTGGATGACCAATCACTTTGGAAACAACGATAAATTTGAATTCTTATGAAATAGTGAATTAAAAATATATTTTTTCCTCTTGGGTTGCATTAAAGTTATGAATTTGTAAAGTATGTGTAAAATATTTTAGACTTGTATTTTAATTATCAATTAGGTTTTGCTACAAAGGAAAGGACAAAAAGTGTATGAAAAATGGAATTTTGACGTGAGATAATTTTGTGATATAGTGTTAAAAGGTTTAGTGCATTTTGATGCAGACAAAAAGAGAAATTTGGGAGAATCGAATTCACTATTTGTTCTCAAGACGATATCGAGAATCGGATTGGAACTTAATGATTCTCGAGATTGGAACTTAATGATTCTTGAGGCATGGTATCAAAATCAACCCATTTTGTAGAGAAATCGAAATCGAACCAATTGGTTCTAGCTGGTTCCAATCCGGTTCCATCAATTTCGAGAAAAAATGGCCATCCTTATGCTATTGGTGATGATGGTTGTTGGTGCGATCTGCATAATGGTGATGGTTGTTGATACGATCTATGTATTTGTGTTGTGCGATTTGGATGGTGGTGATGATTGTTGGTGATGGTGATTCGCTAGAGGTGGTGGTGATGTATTGTGGATATGATGCTGACAACATTTAGGGATGTATCGACGGGTGGAGGAGATGAAGCGTAATTTGTGACAAGTTCATTAGGTTATTGTGATCAATTAATCTGATAATATGCAATTGATAAATGTTGTGATAATTTAGTTTGATAATTTGTTATCGATAAAAAACTTGTAACCTATAAAAATGTGTGATTTTGGATTAAATTTGTAAGAGTAATTCTATTTGTACCGAAAGAATGTACCGAAAATTGTCCCCCTTTCCCAATGCACGCGAGCCCCGCGTGAATATAAAAATTCACAAATGTAGTCCCCATCCCTTATTGTGAGTAGTAGATAAAGAATTAGATAAAAAAAAAATTATATACATGTAGCATTGTCCAATTTGTAGTTGTAAACCACATTTTGTTTCTTTGTAATAGTGATGTTATATGATTTGTGACTAGTACATACATGTAATCATAAATTGTATGTTATTATAAAATTAACCTATTTAATTAATACCACCGAATTTTTGAAAGAATTTCACGAGTTTCTTAAATTTGAAAGTGCATTTTGAAACTTTGGTAATCATGTTATGTATTTTTTTCCTAGGATTTTTTTGGAAAAACGTGCAACTAAAGAGTAAGGAGAAATTTTTAGTGGAAATTACATACTAACAGGTGCTTAAAAATCACAATTCAAAGACCAAGTAGGAAGTTTATTTGTCCAACTATTAGATTTGATGTAATTATTTATATTAATAATCATATTATAAAATTATTTATATTGGTAATAATAGTATAAAACTACCCATCCCCAACCGCCCACAACCCCCCAAGCCCTAAGATTATACATGGATCCTCTTCTCTCTTCACCCTCGTCTTCGTTCGCTGTCAACCATCTCTTCACTTTATTTCGGTGCCGTTGTGAGACCGGCACCACTGCGGGAGGATCAGCGCGGCTGCAAGAGTGCGAAGACCATTGCAGGATGATTAGCGACGCCTACTACGAGGACCTTTCCCCCAGGTGTACACCGCGACTCCAGACTGGTGCTGGATCGCCACAGCACCACCATTACAGGAGGATTGGTTGCGCCTACTGCGAGGACCTCTGCCCCCAGGTGCGCCGTGCGACCTCTTCCCATTCCGAAAAATACCGTCGAAATACGTCCAGCTGCAATACAGTGACACTGCTACAAGTGCCACGATGTGTTGAACGAATGTGATGATGCCATTTTGGATTAGGTTCTACACTAATTTTGTTGACAGTGTTTTGTAGTTGGTGGTCGTGATGTTTGTCGGTGATGTTGATTTGGTGGTGATGAAGCCGTGCATCCTACCTTTTCTCCTTGTTTCTATTGCAACCGAATGGGAATGGTGGCGGTGGTTGCGAGTGTAGGTGGTGGTGGTGTGATTGCCACCTGTTTTTTGTTGTATTGCAAATAGTGGATGCGGTCGTGGTGCGGAGCAGGTGATAGTGCGGGGGTACAGGCGACGACGGTGTTGGTCGTCATTTTTTTGTTGTTGGTGGTGATGTTGTACTGTTGGTGGTGGCAACAGTGACGGGGTGAGAGCGGTGGTGGCAGTGGTGGTGGTATTGTGCTAGGTGTTTGGTGTCTGTAACCAACTATTTGGTCCTCCTGTAACTAACTATTAATCAGTGATTTTAAAATTCGATCACTTTGTGACTAAAAATGTAATTCGTGACCATCAAATTTGAAAATATGTTACGTGTGACCTATAATTTTTTTTAATTTGTGACCAATGACATAAACTGTGACTTATAAAATCAATAGAT